AGTTGTATAAATTAGACTACATACTGGGCAACCATCATATTTCCCTAGCAGAGGTCCTAAAATTCCTCTTTTTTCTTTTCCTGGACATATACAGGGAAGAATTTTTTACGGAAAACATCCATGAAAACCTCCCAAGTGGTAGGGGTGGTGGTAAAACATCTTTCTTAAGCCGCCATCAGTGTTTGGCTTCTCTAGTTAACATGAAGGCTGCTAGGGGGATCTTTTGTTCTTCTATCAAATCTAAGAGATATAAACTTTTCTCTATCTATATGATCTAAGCTTCTACGGCTAAAGGGTTGGATCCTCATTCGAAGTGGAGTGGGTTTAATCTCCTAAACTCAGCTATGTTATGAGAAATAGATCTCTTGGCTGGGCGATAGTCGGGAGTAGGAGGGTGTTGGCCGTGGTTTGATTGGTTTTCGCATATTGTTATGGTTAAACCTTGAATGACTTGAAAAATCTCAATAAATTCGGCCCTAGTCAGAGGATCTTGGGCCTCATGTCTCTCGGTTCTTTCTACAAAAGGTCTTCCTCGCGTCATTCTTACAAAAAAAAGAAGACACGAGTTGGTGGTCTAGTTTGTAAGATAGAAAATATTTTAAGTATCTAGAATGGTTTTCTAAATGATAGTCTCAATTGTTAGGGATTATTCCACGTAACTGCTTTAATACCATTTGTGACATCCCAAATACTAATTAAAGCATTAGGGTGCCAACTACAGAAAAAGATACGAGTGCATTTAAGATAATTGTATACAACAGAATAAAATATTACAATCCCTTACAAAATAATAATAGAGTTCCAAATCTTACAATACTAAGGTGAAACAAAATTAAATACAAGTCTCTACAAAAGTGGAACTCATCAGAGTGCAGGACAAAGCATGCACTCGTAAGGTTCACAGATCCACAAGATCCTCGAAAGTTTTAATAGGTAGGTCAATGATCGATTCCTCATTATCGTCCTTATCTGAGAGGGAGTCATGGAAAGAGATGAGTTCCCCATATTCAGTAAGGAAAACAATATTTAAATAACATAACTAAGATTTTTAAAAGTAATTAAACTTGAAAATGGTACTTTACTTACCATCAAGAATCGTGTCGGAGATCTATTTCAATAATTATGAAAACAGTTTACTTTATTTAAAAAAAATCAATATTAAGTCAATCATATCAAATCATGTCATAATCATATCATGTGAATCAATCATGTCGAAAATTAAATACAGAAAATTAAGCAAATCATGTCGTGCTTTCATCTTATTTTCATTTTATAAATTATACGAAGTCGTTCTGACTTTTATTTACTGTGAGCAATATGGATTCTCAACTACCCATGTGGAATGACCAATTCATTTCATATCATATCAATAATTTACAAATTGTTAAACCATTAGCACATTTATGGCTTGCCAAACCATGACACAATCTATGACCATGGTGGTGCCAACCACAATGGTCCTACATTTAAACTATAGTTACAGTTGTACTTTGCCAAAAGTAACCCCTACAATCATGTCGCATCACCACTCTCGTCAAAGGATACGTCATCATCCACAAGAAGCGATTTTTTCACATCTTTTTATATCATATGGTGGAGAAATAGAAATCCCTCGAAGATCAAAAGCCTAACAAATCATTTCATTTATAAACCATGTATGCCAATATCGATAACTCATGTATATGATATAACATCATGCTTCATCACTTTATTATATCATCATGTTCGCTTTATTTATTTATCTATACATATAATATAAACATGCATCAACATTTATAATATGCATAAATAACCACCACAATAATTAAGCATTTAAACAACTAGTTTATATATGTTAATATTTTGTTTAATTAATCTAGAAATACTTCTTAGAATATAGAGATAAATACTGAATAGTTTACTGAGACTTGAAGTTTTTTCCTACGTCTTTCCTTCTTCTATGCCTTCCTCTTCTCTCTCTAGCTTTCTCTTTTCTCTCTAGAATTTCTTTCGTGGATAGAATAATGAAGTTGGAGTGGTGAAGAAATGGTGGAAAATGGTCTCCATTTATAAAAAATGGGGACTGTCAGATTTCCACCAAGTTGCAAAATCTTATGAGGAGAGAGGGAGGGAAAAAGTGACTTGATGCGATGCGACGACTGATGGACATAACTGATGAATGGCTGAAGCGAAGGCGGTGCAACAACTGAAGGCATGCTGCCCAAGCGGTAGTGGCATGTCGTCCAACTAACAGTGCATGCCCCCCCCCAAGCGGTGGCGTCCACTGCCCAAGGGTAGTGCGGGCAGCCCAAGCCTACCGCACACAAATTGCACACCTTGGGCCCCGCGCAAATGGGATGTGTGCACAAGCTCTTGTCCAGTGCGGCTGCACGCATGCGCGCATGTGTGTGCAACGGGCGAGGCCTGTACGGATGGGAAAAATTTTCCCGCGGCCCTTTTCGCAGGATTTTTCTGTTATTTTTTTTATTTTTCCTAAAATCTTCTTAAAGTTAATTAAATAATTTAAAATAAATAAATAATTATTTAATTAAATAAATAACAAATACGTTAGTTTGTAAAAATATAAAAAATCAATTTAAATTCAATTTCATCTGAAGATCAAAACCTAAATTTCAAAGAGTTCAAATGGCTTTAGGGCTCAAATAATTAGAGGTTTTACACAACAATTAAGCACAAAGATTTTGGTGTGTTAGAAAGATGACGATGTGTGGTGTTGTCTCTCTAACTCGTTTTCCCGATCTTTTTTTTGGCTTTTTTGATCCTCTCCCTTAGTTGTATTCTTCTCCTGAGCTACAAAGATATTTTATATACATCACTATTGTCTAAGGGAGACATCCTCTCTTGAGATAAGTTGTTGCAGAGCTAAAATTGTAAAGGATACAACACGTATTAAATTTGTAGAAGAATGACAAACATTAATATACCCACCTTTTCCTCCTATCTTTACTTGAAGGAAAAAAACAAAAGGTAAAACTGGCCCTGATAGGATTGTTATGCTTCTAGTTGGTAACCCATTATTAATGTACATAACAATTATTACTAAAGCGTTGTTAAGAGCTATTTCTTGTATCATTTGAGATGCAGTAGCATTTCGTTCCTCAATAGGTTAGAAGATAAGTCTTATAGTTCCTTTATGTTTTTCCTTACACTGATTAAGTACACGTGCATCCTACCATCAATTTTATCCTATGCTCCCAATCAACAAGTTCCTGCAAAGGGAGGTGATAGGTCCCATCTCTAACAAAAGTAATAGAAAGTACTTGACTTTGAAAAGATCGTGATCATCGATATGGCTTTATCTG